CATCCATCCATCCATCCATCCATCCATCCATTAGCAATATGGTTAATTATTTTTCTTTTCCCCCGAAGCCGTCTCCCTCCAATGCTATGAGTGCATGTCATATGTTTCATGGGAAGACTGTGAAGAAAACCAGTCAATAAAGACCTGCCCAAGCAAAGTACTGGATTCATGTGTCAAATTACACCGCGCCTTTGTTAAGCCCAACGGACAACGAACCCAAGAATTCCACAAAGCTTGCTTTCATTCCGGCGAATGTACCGAGCAAAGCTGTAGAGATACTGACGACATAGTAAAAGGAAGCTGGTGTGAGGTCGAATGCTGTAACACAACGCTGTGTAACACCGGTGTCACGCCATGGGCAAGAAAACACATGCCTCAAACAATGCTTCAGGTTGGCGGGAAAGGAAGTCACGTAACATGTGCTTCAGCCAATCAGCAGATTATCGTCATGCTGTTGATTGGCTTGGTGTTTGTGTTCTAAATGGTCAGCAGCTACATCATCAAGCATGCGCAAGTTGAGTTATTCAATCCTCGTTTCCAGTACCTTTCGAGAGATTCAATTCAGGTTATTGCCAGCGGTACCATTCAAAAATTTAGTTCGTAGAATACCGCTGTGTTCCTTGATTGCAAAAAAAAKTCACAGATACCACCGATAGTAGACTAAAAATATACAACTTCAATTTTGTTGCGAAAAATTTATACATTTCTTAGAACCTTCAAGTCAATACTTGTAGAGATTATCAACGAAAGAGTGAAGCTTCGTGGCACTTGGAACTGCAATTATTGACATTAGAAATACGTGATTTGTACGCTGAGGAGAGTGTTGTATACACTAATATATACATATATATTAGAAGAAGTATTTTTCAAAAAGTTAAAAATCACTGTTTATAAATCTAAGAATGTTCTAGTCACAAAGAATTGTTTTTTTAAAGAATAAATGGATTAGTATACACATAACTACCAAAAAACGAAAGAGCGCAAATAGATTCAAGTTTGATTAAAATACATTGAGCTGAAACCTACAATTACTAATCTGATCAAAATCGAAAAAGAATTCACTTAATTAATGTAAAAAAAAWTTTTTCTAATGGAAAAATTCCGTTGCAAGGTGAAAAAGCATTGTATGCAAATAAAACATTGTGTTTTTTGACTGATAATCACGTGTTTTTGGCGTTGACGCCGTGTGGTCGTCAGCAAAAACTACTGCAAGTTTCATCATTATTTTTTTGTGTGCTTTCATTCTCGCCAACCACAGTTTACTTTAGGACTGACACGTTGGATAACATTATATCAACAATGTCATAATCAAATCGTCTAACGGTATACTTACCCAATGTTTCAGTACTCACGAGCATCTTTGACTGCACTTGATGTCTGATTTTGACTTCCAAAACGAATGTCTTCGACAAAATATATAAAACATTACTTGATCCTTCAGAAAGAAATCTGTTGCCTCGGGAAAAAAAGCAAACAAGCAAGCAAATAAATAAACTTGAAAGATATCAGTCAATGGCGTCGACCTCGCGTCAGCTGTCGCGATTTCAGGGTTTTTAAACCACCCATAACAGCGATTCAGAATGTCACTGTATATCTTTATTATTATGTATAACGATTTACAATATCAAATAAACACATAGGTTTGTTGACAGTGAACACAATAGACCACACGTTATGAGTCTCACGACGTGACATCTGTCCATGCGCGCAATAATATGATATCAGAACATATAGAAATTCAATACAAAGATTAGCAAGAAAGGGCATTATTAGTTAATAGCAGAACAAAATATTCCCTATTGAGCTCTTAAAAATCACACATTTAAAAAAATCGCCTTATAGGCCACGATATGTGTAGTCAGCGGTAGTAACCAAAAAGAAAGTTTTTGACAGTAGTGAATAAAAGTTTACATAATCAACCAATCAGGTTCTTTGTTGTCTTCAGCCGACTAGGGTTTGAATGATTATAGATATGAAGACTAGTAGGTTGTTAAAATTATTACGCCAGCAGAGCGTAGTAAGGAGAGCAAGTCAGATGCAAGTCAGAAGTTTAGATGAGTACTACTGATTGTTGTGCATTCATACCGTCTTCAGTCTTTGAATGAAAAAAGTTTATGAAAAGCGACAATATGCTTTGCAAGGTTATGTTGGTTACTCTCGTCGTTATGATAGCTGTTTTCCATCAAGGTGAGTACAAGCTTGAATTTTTATCAAACCCTGCCCTGAAAGAACAATCCTCTGGGCTGATCTAAGTCAGGGGCATAGCTAACTCACCTGTTGAACCCTGAAACAACCTCTAGGCTGATCTAAGTCAGGGCATGGCTAGCTCACAGATTGAACCCTGAAACAACCTCTGGGCTAATCTAAGTCAGGGCATGGCTAGCTCACAGATTAAATCCTGAAACAACCTCTGGGCTGATCATAGTCAGGGCATGGCTAACTCACAGATTGATCCCTGGAACAACCTCTGGGCTAATCTAATAAGTCTTGGCAAAGCTAACTCATATAGATTGAACACACTTGATTCCAATTCGATCTATATGAGTTATTTGATTCAGGGCTCAACTAGTTATAAATCAAATTTGTTTTTCTTTTGAATGTCACAAGTCACTTGTTGTAAAAACCATCATTGATAATGTTGTTGTCGTTTGTTAGGTTTTTGTCTGAGCTGTTTTGATTGTGTTTCAAATGATTCATGGGAAGAATGCGATAGAATAGGAACGATCACAAACTGCACGAAAAAATTTCAGGGGAGAAACGTAAACGCTTCTTGCATAAAGGCCATAAGGTAAGTAGAAGTTGGGTCCCTGTTTCTAGATCCAGTCCACGTTACCGTGCATTACACTTGGCACTAGCCCTGCGCCCCAATTGGCCCCTTTAGAAACGAGTTGAGGACTGGGAACGGGTTTTTTAGAATCAACCTAGTTTAAAAATAAACACCATAACAAGAAAGAGTACATCGTAATTAGCAATTTTCTGGAGTTTCAGGATTTTGGGTTTCATACCTTTTGCATGTGTAGCAACCTCCCTAACATCTCAAAAATTACAAAAAAATGTAAGGTTACTCGGGACGCTGGCATTCGAATTTTTGATGTTTTTGATTGCTTATGATTTAGTTGTTGCTTAGTCAATCGAAGCCACGCTGCAGAAACCTGTTAATTCTGATGTGCTCTTTCTAGTTATGAAATTTAATACGGATTAATCATCAATACCTTCTATGTACCCGTTTCCAGTCCTTCACTCGTTTCTAAAATGGCCTATTTAGAAGAATAAAGCATTGCCACTTTAAATCGTCGATAATTAACTTATTGTGTCGTTAATGACAGGTATAAAAAGTTCAAGAACCGAGAAGAATGGATGTTCATGAAAAGATGCTTTGAAACAGTAAAGTGTAACAAAGTATTCTGTTATCGTAGCGTAGATTCAAAAGAAGAATTGGAGAATATCCAGCAAATTGGGTGCGATGTTGACTGTTGTAAGGATAAGGATTTCTGTAATGGTGGAAATAAAGAAGGCTTGTCGCTTTACATGATTATCTTACTACCCTTCACTACCATGATAATTAATGGAGCGGATTTTAACTCTGCTTCCATTACTTTAGCTTTTCTCTCAAGTTTAACACAAAAGTTATTTATAAGAAAAGGACCTTGAACAATAGTGTTAGTCACACGTGACCTCGAGCCTAATGTCACGTGACTGTGATGTACAATGTATATATTGTGTGAATAACATTCAGGCTAGAGGAGTTTTTTATGGCAGCCAAATCACGTGACCATTTTTAGAAGTGATCTATGCACAATGCATTGTGGGATTTACATTTAGAATCGAGAAACGTTTATGGCAGCCATGTTGGCAGTTCAACATGACTGCCAACAGCTGCCATAAATCCCATTATAACTTGAGCTGTTGAATAGTGCTGTTATTGATGTATTCTTTCCGCTGAGACACTGAAAGAGGGAGGGATGTGAAAATCTTCTACTAAGGAGGGGTGGGGTGATGTACATAGATCATTTCGTTTATTGTGACGATGTCAAAGTGTTTTACATTAAAACTTTTAAAAATCGTATCCAAACGATGTGAAATTGCACGGGGATGACGTCACAACGACGTCATTAATTGCGCGAATTCTTCAATTGAACCTCCCTACTTCAATTCCTAGCTTGATTGAAGCTTTTCTTACTGCTGTTAAGATAGCTAACTAAAGAAATCTGCCTAAATTTTCTCTTTAAAGTCACYGTGACCATAACACAATCCAAGCTAGCGCCGAAAAGGTGAATTGGAACCTATTGTCTTGTACCCCAGATTGAGCTGCATTCCGACGTGCTGCAAGGGGTCTATTGCGAACTGAACCTTCCTATTTACTTCACTTTTTTTCCAAATCTTATAAGGGATTTTCGAGATGTATCCTTATATGAATGACGTCACACCTCAAGCTCTCTGTTATGGGCTACCTGTGTAACTTATTTTGGGATTCTTGAACCGGGATTACTGTGGAAACTTTTTTTGGGTTACCTGTGGTTTTCAGTACTCTTAGTTTATAACAAGGGTTCTGATTGGTTGATATAGTATTTTCAGCATATAACAACGCCTGTAATTGGTCCAGTTATGACTATAAATTAAACCACGCGCTTGAATTTCTTCGGACACAGCAAAGCCTTGCTACGGAGCAACAAACGGAGAAGAAGATTGTTCTTCTAGTTTTAGAGAACTTTTCTTCTCAACAACTTTATGTTGGCTCTGGGGAAAGTCCCCGGACCTGAGGCAGAGAGTGCCAGCCGAGAAGGCGCCAGTTTTCATCGCAATTCATTTTGGCGAAGACGCGACTGCTGAGCCACGAGGAGCGACGAAGATGTCTTGTCGAAGCACAGTTATGCAAGGTCATCTCTTGATGGTCTACGATGGATCTAATGGAGATGTGAACTCGACGGGGCTTACTTTGCTGTGTCCCAAACCTTTTTTACATTTGAGAAAGTCAATGATCTTTATGCTTAAAACTACTGGTGATATATGTGATTTCAATGAGTCCATAGCACGTGTTGGTTGAGCAACATTAATTTAACCCCATTCCAAATACTCTTTTTATTTTCTTTAATACTTCTAATTGTCGATAAAATTCTAAGTATTTCAATATTTGTGTCCTTGGCGAACATTTCCCTGATATTTTAACAGATCTTTTGTAAGAAATTCGGGGTCCAAAGATCATATTCCAGCCATGCTTTCACAATCTCTCAGCTTCAAATTACGTAAGTTGGTCCCAGTTGAAATAGAACTCATTTATAATTATCAAGGTTCTTGTAGAAAATAAGGATTACTTTTACTTTGTAAGGATGAAAGTGGATTGTATTTTTGAACTTGGTTTAGATTCAATGGCGATTTAGTGCCCAATGATTTATTTTAATTTTATGATTAAAGCTACTACACAGTATATACAATGCAATTGGCCATTAAGATAAAATAAATGCTTTTGACCTTTTCTCAATGTCCTAGAATACAATGAAAGTAATTTATAGCCATAGCCAATTTTTCTATCAACCCTGAGACAATCTCTTGGCTGATCTAAGTTTGAGCACTGCTAACTCTCAGATTGAGCCCTGAAACGACTTCTGGGCACAGCTAACTGACAGAATAAACCCTCTGGGCTGATCTAAGGCTGGGCTAACTCACAGATTGATCCCTGAAGCAACCTCTGGGCTGATCTAAGTCGGGGCCAGGCTAACTCACAGAACACAATTGAAATACAGCATCCTCTATTGATGCTTGACTGATTCTTTAGGCAGTTACAGAAGCCAACTGTATCTCACCTCATATAGAAAGTGTGAATTAAAAAAACTTGAAAAGAAGCTTTGATATGAGGGTTATTTGAATAAATTATGTTTCATAAAGCAAATGTTTGAAATGGTATTCGGCTCGAAGAATGACTTTGTATATAAACAACTTTTAACATATATACCAAGTCAAGTATTAAGAGCACTTCACCTTGTCATAATTCAGACTTTTCTTTCAAAGTGTCTGATGGTTTTCCTCCCACACCAGGGAATTTCTGGTTCTCAAATTCCACCATTTTACATTCTGGTTGTGTGATAATGAAGTCCTTCACATCCCATGCAATGCTGCCATCTTTCAGTAGGAACAATGCTCTATCATCAGCAACAATGTATCTAAAATAATTGAAAAAAGATTATAATTCATTACAGAGTCACAATAAAGAGTTAGGAACATTGATAGAACCTAGAGAAAAACTCTAAAATCTTAAAATTTCATCTTTATCCTGAAACTTCCACTGGGCTGATCAAAGTCAGGGCACATATCTAACTCGCAAAGCTAGTTGGAATTAAGCAAATTAGCTTCTGCAGAGGGAACAGAGAAAAACCCTCAAATCAAGGGAGAGACCTAAACTTTAATCCTCTGTGTTACTGAGTCTGGGAATTGAACCAGGGACCTCAGAGGTGAGAGGTGAGTGCTTACTGCCTTATGAATTTGGTTCAATCAAGGGAAAGATCCAATCATGGGAGAGACCCAAATATTGTATTGTGTAGGCCCAACAAATTCCATTCACTGTTATGCTGAGTCCAGGAATCTAGCCTGAGACTCTAGGGGTGAGATTACCCCCAGTTTTTGTTGCATCAAGACATTGTAATAATTAATAATATTTATCACTAAATATTACTAACCTTTCCACTTGTAAGTGTGCATTATGCAGACTTGTCTGCCATCTTGCCGTTACATCTTCAGTTCTTTTCCTTGATGGGTTGTTTGCAATGGACACAAACATCATGAGTGTTTTACCTTTTTTGGCCATTTTGACAAAAGCCATTGGGTCATCTTTGACTTTGCTTGGGTCAAATGCTGGCATCTGTGGTTTTGGTTTACGTGGATCATCATCATCATATTTCTCATCATCATCATCTTCATTATCCTTTTAAGAATTAGCAGAAAAAGATATATGAGCTGGAAATTCTAGGGTTTATCTAAGCCTCAACCTCATAGTGGGATTGATGCTAGACAAGCAATAGGCCGATCTTTATTAACGTTTTTTCCTCATTAGCATAATGTGTTTTTCACTCAAGAAATTGAAAGAGAATGTCTTATTTAGTAACTACTGAAAATTTGAGAGTAATATGTTCAATATTTTGGGAGTAAAATGTTTTTGAAAACACTATGAATTACAAAGAAATGTATGATTGTGTATGTATGATGTATGATTCCAATCACCTTTCATGGGTGAGGTATGGATATTTTCTGGAACTTCTATAATATACCCTTCTCAGACCCTCCCTAACCCTTAGAAAAAATTCAATCCCACTTCACAGGGGAAGTGCTTTTATAAGTTATAATTCTTATGTGTATCAAATGAAAGAATAGATTGCTGGTTAATTAATAGAATATCTAAAACGCATGCGCCTACAGTAATGAAGAATTAATGTGAGGTAAACAATATTAAAATTTTCAAAACAAACCCCTTTTTTTACATCTTTGCGTAAAAATATTTGAACGAAAGCAAAGCTGAACTATATACAGTGTCTGTGCATATCCATAAGGGAAGAAAAATAGTAAAAAATTCTGAGATACATGAATAAAATGGTATGTTTTTAGTAAAAGGTAAGCTTACATCCCACTGGTCCAAAAGCCTTTCCATATCAGCTTCAGTATAATCTAAAATATTTTTTCCTATTTTTTCTTTGGATTTTGCAGCTTTGTCCTTTTTTGTGTTCTTGTTTTTCTCAGAGGATGAAGAACAAACGAGTACGAATAATACAATAAAAAACACTAGACAAAAACGAAGAGCCCAAGATTTTAATACGTCCGCCATCTTGAATAACAGTAAAACCGGAAGTGAGTACGCAAGGAGGCATGGGAAAGTTTAGAAAATCGTCTTGTTTCAACATCTACTGTAGGGGAGTGGGGTGGGGGGGGGGTTGGCAGTTAAAAAATATGTAAATGTGTTTGTTTGTTTGTCTTTATTGCTCTTTAGAGTCGTATTTTTATACAATAGCAATTAATAAAGATATATTATAGGGAAATATATATAGTTGTACCAAATTCTTATGCAATAATGGGAATAAGTTAAGTCATGGAAAATCAAGTATTTCTCAAAAAAATACAATTCTAATAACAGAAATTTCAAAGTTTATATTGGTAAGGGGTTAGTTATTTTTAGAATAGTTTATGAAATTCTGTTTTTTTTTTGATTTACGACGTCCCGTCAGTGTTTCTAAGAATTGAAACCGGAAGTAGCGCGCACTGGACCCTGGGATTTCCTCAGTAGGTTTATCATATGACGGCCACAAAGTTAACAAAAACATGGACGTTGCAGAGTGAATCAAACAAATGGAGGCTGTTAAACCCAGAAAGAAGCACAGAAAGAAGAATAAAACTCCTGCTACAGAGTCTGTAAAAACCGAGGAGGATAGCATAAACGTTCAAGGTTTGAGAACGTCTGTAATTCTTATGATATTTTGAGTTTTATGTCTGTCAAGATGTTCTTTAATTGAGCAGAATTAATGCGATAATTTGAACATTTTTAGGGACTGCTTTAGAGAGTGAGGCAAGAGAAGAACAGGTTGATGAAGAACAAGACGTTGCTGCTTCAAATGCAGCGGAAAAACAGGAAGAAGATAATAAGAATGTGGACGTAACTGAAGTAAAGGAATCTGGACCAGACTCTGCAGACGCCAATGAGAGAACAGTAATAGATAAAGAGATCTCAAAAGAACAATGCATTGAATCTAAGGATATTGAAATAACTAGTAATACTGAAGGAAATGAATTAACTACACAAACAAAAGATATTACTTCTGAATTTCAAAGTTCTACAACAGATATTAATAATTTGAATGAAGAATTGCCAAGCAATGAGACAAAAAATACTGAACTGGGTAATGAATGGGAAGTACTACCTGCTACTGTAAGACAGGATGGGAATGAAGAAATAGAAAGCAATGAAATTGCAGTTCCAAAAACTGAGGATAAGGCTGAGTCAAAAAATGTAGAAGATATTTGCAAAGAAGAATTTGTAGCAGCAGAAGGACCAACTCCTAAAGAAAGGATAAGAGTTGAAAATAAGACTGTAGATGCAGTGAAAAATTTGGAAAAAGAAAAAGAACAGGAAAAAAGAGAACAAGAGAGAATTAGAGAAACGAAGAGTATTTATCCAAAGCTAGAATCGGCTTCTTCCAAAGAAAAATGTGAGTACGACTTTCTTAGAAAAGAGACATTCATAAAGTCAAACTGAAGAAGATATTATTTCAAAATTATGACTATTAATTATTAATGAATTATAATATCAATTCTTCATACAGTTAAGGAATCTATCAAAGAAAGAATTTTGCTTGAGCCATTTACAGAAGATGAACTCAAGATTTTCTATTTCAATCCATTGTTGGAGCAGCTACATGGTTTTACTGACCGATTCCTTGTCGTAAGTTATGAGAATGATGACGATGATGATGACGATGACGATGATGAGAATAATGGAGATGATGATGATGTGTTGTTATGATGATGATGATAGTGATGACAGTGAATGGTCATGAAGATGATGGTGATGATGATGGTAATGTTGGTATGATAATGATGGTGATGAAAATAATGGAGATGATGATGATGATGATGTTGATAACAGTTATGGAACAGCCTACCTCCATCCCTTCGATCTTGCAAAACAATTTCTAGTTTTAAGTGTGGTCTCAAGACCTTTTTATTCACACGAGCTTTCAATATGTAAAAATCTTACCTATTTTAACCAATCTAAATCAATGTATTGTTATTTAAATTTAAAAAAAGAAATTATGTGTATTGTATTGTGTTATGTGTAATGTATATATTGAAATGAAATGAATTTTATTTGAAATATGTTGATAATGATATGTATTTATGGGCATGTTTTATTACTCACTCTTATTCATGAAATAGTAATTCTTTTCTTAATTTTATTTTGAGTCACATTTACATTGTAAAGCATCTTTGAATTAACTTACGGATATCGACGCTTATTATTATTATTATTATTATTATTATTATGACAGTAGTAATGATGATGGTAATGTTGGTGTAATGAGGACAATGAAAATAATGTAGATAATGATGATGATGGTAATGGTGGTGTAATGATGACAATTTTGGTCATGATAATGATGTTGATGGTTATGATCACTAATGATAATTTTTCATTTATATCTTTAGATAGCAAAGCAAGATAAACATGAATTCTATGAGTTAGTAAACACGTACTACAGGAGTAGAAATGCTGTTTCATTAGCAGTGGAAGAGTTTAAGGTACTTCTTGTTCTAACTTCTTGTTAATTTGCATAGGGAATCACATGATCTCGATTACAATTCGGAATTTATAGGTAAGAGTGATGTTTTGAAAGTTTTCAAAATTAGACGAGCCTCTGTTCATGATACACTCAAAAAAAAAGAGCAAAATTTGGGATTCTACAGAGTACAATTTGGGATTTAATTGTACTCCTCTTGTCCAATCAGAATCAAGTAATTGTGTAGAGTGTGTTATAAAGTGCTAAACAGACTAGACGGGTACTGGACAAGGTGACCAATCCATACTTGGTCTTTTAACGACACTTGGTTGGCTCAGTCTATAGCTTTGGATTAATTTTTTTTCATTTTAGACTGTGTTATTCTCTCGAGAATAAGATTCTTTGTTTGAGTTTTATCCATATTCATTTGCTCTTGTATGCAACTAATAAACAAAGAAATGATATTCTAGGGAATGACACATGGTTTGAAATGGGAAAACACTACGCCCAAGGCAAAGAGGTCTATTCTCGGCAAGAGCAGCACTCGGGGTATGAAAATAACTGAGGGGGAAGTGCTGTAATTACATCATAATGGTTAGACCTTCACATGGGTAATGAATTGTCACTTTAAATGGCAGTCCTGTCTCTACACACTTCATCAATCACTAACCAATGTGGAATGATTTATGTGACGTAATTCATATTTTCATGACAACGATTTGTTGTAATATTTTTGTTTAGATAGTAGAGAAGGAGTGTGATGGCAAGAAAGAACATCTATGGATTAGTAAAGATTTAACTGTCTCTGCACAAGTAAGAAATATGTTTCATTATTTCCACTAGATAAATGGAATTAAGGGACTGGAATTTCTAAGGGGTGGTGAAGGTCTGAAATAGGCATAACATATTTACTCGAATAAGCACCCTGGCGCTTATTAAATTTTTCATGTCTAAAACTGGGCACTTATTCGGGGGATGCGCTTATTCGAGGGAGGTGCTTATTCGAGGGAGGCGCTTATTCGAGGGAGGCGCTTATTCAAAGGGAGGAAACATGTACACAACTGTCAAAGTATACTTTTCTTTAATATCAATGTTATACTACTACAATAGTATTAGTATTAGTATACTATAACAAGAAGCGAGAAGAAGCACTTACGTTAATTTTCATGTGTGTACATGTGTTCTATCAATGTGCGCGATAAAGTCAGATTGTAGCATTATGCACAATTCCTCGAAAAAGCGCCCCCTTAAGATGCGAGGCGCTTATTCGGGGGAGGCACTCATTCCGGTGAGGCACTTATTCGGGGGAGACGCTTATTCAGGGGAGGTACTTATTCAAGTAATTACACTATTGTAGTACTATGTCAGGGCTTAAAATGATGGCTTGTAAGTCACTGGTCAATTTAGTGTTAGCGTAGTCATACCTCATTCCTGGCTTAACATTACTGGTTAAAATGACCAGCAAGGCAAAGATTTCACTGGACAAGTTTCAATTCTGGGCAGACATTGTCTGATGTCTCAGTGGCCATTATTTTAAGCCCTGCCATGTAGTACCTGGGGATTGGATTTCTAAATAGTGAGGAGGGTCTGAAGAGGGTAATGTACATTCTAATACATTTATCTTGGCTATCATTATTATTATGACGATTCATGGATTTTATGAACGTTATTGGAACTATCATTAGGACACTCTGTAAAGGTGCATTGTGAAATGGACGTGGCACGATGTTGTAATGTATTATTGTTTTTGTTCAGGGTAAATGCCGAGATAATGTTACTGTGACATGTACAGAGCATTACCAACAGGTTGAAGTGAATAGTGGTGTGCTGTCTGAAATGACCAACCTACTTAAAACATTACAAAAGGCACTTCACGAGGTAAAGTAACAGTTGAAAAGGTTGCTATGGTGATAGCAGTTCTCAATAGAAATGTTGCTGTGGTGATAGCAAGTCCTTATAAGAATGTTGCCATGGTGATAGGAAGTCCTTATGAAAATGTTGCCTTGGTGATAGCAAGTCGTTATAAAAATGTTGCCATGGTGATAGAAAGTCCTTATGAAAATGTTGCCATGGTGATAGCAAGTCGTTATAAAAATGTTGCCATGGTGATAGCAAGTCCTTATGAAAATGTTGCCATGGTGATAGCAGTACATTGTTGAAATGTTCATTATAAAACTGTTGCCATGGTGATAGCAGTTCATTATACAGCGGTAAATGTATTAATGTTTTTTGTGTTGCAGACTCTCTGTCTCCAGATGTACACTTGTCAAACAGCGCGCCTAAGAGTCAACATGTACATCTATGAGATGATCAGTAATTCACACATCCTGAGTAAAGTATTCTCTGAGGCTCATGTTGGAGGTACTTAATACTACAGTATCAAAAATAGCAGCTATAAGTAGATCTTGCTTCCTGATTGGACATGGGTGTGCCCTTTATGAGAGCACACAGCGTATCTGCGCACTTTATATTACTGAATGTAGTTTTCTTCAATAATGGTGGGTCCAGAAAATGGCAAAAATACCCCACTCAGTTATCACATGTTTCTCTTCTTTCAATATTAAACTGTAATACTGTCACCCCTGTTGCTACTACAGGTCAATCACCACAAGAGATCACTTCAGAGTTCCAGGCAGATGTGCAGCGCCTGAGGGACTGTATTAGTGTACTGTTTATGTTCGTCAGGCAGCCATTGCAGGACCAGGAATTTGCTGATAATCTATATTCATGGATGGAACACTTGGTAAGATGTATCACCATCTTTGTTTATCGACATATCATATTATTTCATCATCACAATCATCATCATCATCATCATGATCAGCCATTTGTCATGAATTATCATTAACGCAACCATAAAAATCTTGGTTGTCATCACTATTATCATCATCAGCCATCCATAATCATCATCATCATAGTCTTTGCCATTATTATCACACCATCAGCATCACCATTACCATCATGATCATCAATATCATGATCATCAGCATCATCATCATCAGCCATTTGTCATGTCATCACTATTATCATATCTATTGTCATATCTATTATCAGCCATCCATAATCATCATCATCATAGTCATTGCCATTATTATCATCAGCATCAGCATCAGCATCACTATTACCATCATGATCATCAATATCATCATCATCATCACCATGATCATCATGATCATCATTACCACCACCATCATCAACAACACTGTTATCAACATATCTTAATCTATACAACTATATTTGGTTATAAGGTTGTTGGACAAGAGTGTGTTGCACAAAGATTTTCACAATAACAATCATAAATGATGATAACAACAATATTCATGTGTACCTTTCAGGTCTCAATACTACTGAGAGTGGCTTCCCTCGCAGACCTGGTCTTTCTTGTCAATCATGTTATGCGCTGCCCACCAGGGTTCGCCCGTAAGGTGGCTAGTTTTATACAGTTCCCAGTACCTCGTTACCATGGTGACACAAATGTTGTTGGTGAACAATACTTCTGGGATAACCCTCTTGTTCATCACTTTGTTGCAATGTTAGCAGCGATACTTCTGCCAGTCAGGTGAGGATGGCTTAATGATTTGAAGTAATTAATCCAGATATGATTAGACAGACAGTGACCGACTGGCCTACTGACCGACTAACAGACTGACTGACTGGCTGACAGAACTACAATTTTGCCAAAATACTTGGCATGATGGCACATTTTGGCTAACACAGAAAATGGCTTTCCTCTGTTGCGCTCTCTCCCCCTCCCCCCTGTACAATGTTGCTGTTCCCTGAAAGAAAGTTGGTACCCCTGATCAGACTCGCAACCCTCTGCCAACTTGCAGGAATCCCAGCATTTGGAGGGGGAGGTGGGTTTAGTCCTAGGTAGTGTTTTGCGAAGTACCCTCTAAGATACTAAAATCTGTCAAGCGTGCCAACTAATTATGGCAATGATTGTAGAAATGCAAGCACAATAGTCAAACAAAAAACAACTAAAGAAAACGAAAACTCTAAACAAAAATTATTACCGAAATATAGAAAATATAAAAAAGCAATATGTTGGTAGAATTCCTTTAAAATGTTTTCATGAATTGCACATTTTATTGCAGGGGTCGCGAAGAATTCCTTCAGAGAATGATGACCAGAAGTAATGGTATTTGATCAACATTGTCTTCTGTTCTTTGGATCAACATTTATGTAATTTGTAATCCTAATTTGAAATATATATTATGTTATTTGTAGGAACAATGAGAAGTATTAGCTGGACCCTGATAGACGAGGATGGTGAAGAGGTATGAAAAATGAAAAAAAAATAGCACACATAAATTTGCTTACAGAAATAATACAGTAAATTAAAATAAAGTTTAAACATACAATAAAATTTAATGTGATAGCTAGGATATGTTAAAAAATAATTTAATCGTTGGCTGTCAAAAGAGTTAAAACTTTAGTGTCGACATCACATATTCAATTCTTCTATAACATATTCAATTTTTGTATTATTCTAATGTCATTTCTTATGTAGCACATGTTATGATCTGAAACTTCCCCTCTGCTCTTTCCATTTGTGTTGGTCAAGCAGCTTGATCTGGGGGACAAAACAAAAGAATTCCAATCTCCTGAGAATAGACCCTTTTCGAATTCCAAATTACCACTGTGTTTCTTGATTACAGACTCATTTACTCAGGCTAAGCCTCGAATCAGTGTCTACATATTCACAACTGCCAAGGGTAAAGTAAAGAATGCACAAGTTCAACAATACAAACAATTTGAAACTTGATGGACCTTGACTGGAACATGTGAATATTCTTCACAAAATCGAGGCTAACCCTGTGCAAATGAGTCTGTAATCAAGGAACACAGCGGTAATTTGGAACTCGAAAAGGGTCTATTGGACACCTATTGTTTTGTCCCCCAGATTGAGCTGCATTCCGACGTGCTGCAAGGGGTTTATAGGGGGGTAGAGTTGCATGACCTGTTAGACGTACAAGTTGTCCATTGTGACCAGAGTGATTGTTGTTTTATTTACTAGGATGAGAATCCAGAGAACAGTTGGATGTTATTCCAGGAAGGCGACCTCGTTGAAGTTTTTGGACAGTTTCCTTTTGATTCTTTCTTTAAACATTTGTTTAAAATGGATCCTTATTTGGATGGTGAGTGATTGCATGATGAATAACGACAGGATTATACTAACTTATAAGTACTATATACAGGGTCCGTACAGGTTTTGGAAAGTCTTGGAAAGTTTTGGAAATCAATAATGCATTTTTCCAGGACCTGGAAAGTTTTGGAAAATTTCTTTTTCGACTGCTGGGCTATGGTCCTACCTTGCAAAGAACTCTTTCCATTGTATTAATTAAAAATGCCAATGTTTATTTTTTCCTGCTGCAAATCAACGCCTGCTGGCTCTTTAGGTCAGCAGAGTGCCATATTTTGTATTGGTTTCTATGTTGAATGTTTTTCATCCAATGATGAACTTTACTTTATTTTTTTGCTTAATATGTGGTTTTAGAAATTTTAGTTGATAGGCTTTGAAAAACTTTTGGAAAAGTTTTGGAAATTTTCACTGAGGAATCTGTATGAACCCTGTATATATGATGTGTGTGAGTGGCATAGTGGTTTACGGCTTGCCTCTCACCACTGTAGTCTGGGTTAAAGCCCTGGCTCAGACTGGATCATATGTGTGAGTTGAGCTCGTTCGATGTGCTGTCCTCTCCCTGGCCATGAGGGTCTCCCCTGGGCTCACAGGTTTCCTCCCTCCATAAAAACCAACATGTGAGTTGAGTGTTGTATCTTGTAAATGTAGAATGTAGTGGTAGAAGGCGTAGAGGCAACCTCACAGAAGAGCTTCATAGGAGGGGTGGTGCTTTATATACACCTAATTCAAAAAACGTCATCGCCAAAGGTGATAGGTGATAGATCATTCCGACATGGAAATGGTTTCGTTGAATACAAAGAACATCAAATCACTCTCAGCACGAAGGTCCATACTCTTGACGAAAGGAAGAAGAAGAAACACAAGTCATTCGAGCTATTCTTGGATCTTGGAATGACATATAACCTATCGCTTTTTGCCTATGGCCTATTGCCTATCGCCTTTGGCGATGACAACGTTTTTTGAATTAGGTGTATATAATTAGCACAGATACTATAATTTACAATATTTGTAGTCTGTATTTTAACATTCATACCAGTATTCACAATTATAACAGGTTGTTTAATTTTTATTTTATGAAAGAAAAATAATTACTTTCCAGCTCAAAATTATTAGTTATGAATGCTTAAATTAATATTACAGAATAAAAGCAGCAAATTCAGAGTAAAAAACGTATTTTGATCCGGACAATTCACTTAACCGAAGTGCAGTCCAGTCCAGCCATGCTCGGTTCTGGATTTTCCAAAATTAAAAATAGATCAAAAATGCAAAATTTATATGGATAAATCAATTTTGAGAGATTTCACTTGTTTTTTCTGACTGTAGAAGTTTTTTCAAGAACTTTGCAATGTGTTTCTGCTCACACTTCTCTCAAGTTTGCCAGACCCAGGAATGCTTTATAACCACACACATCATGCAGCCACTTATCTTGATAACTTCATCAAAGCATGATCATACAGAGCAATTTTCTTTGCAACTTGTCTCACAACAGCATTGCAACACAAGTTGCATAGAGCATTGCAGTGTTTAACATACAGTGCAATTTAAAAACATTTTGCAAGACAAGTTGTGCCAATCGTTAGCAATAATTGAATCTCTGTTGCACCATGTAAGCACTATTACAACTTGTGTCACAATGCTTTTATGAGACAAGTTGCAGAGAAAATTGCAATCATGCAATTTCAGGGGAGTACGTGTCAGAAGGGTCATACTGCATAGAGAAGACTTCAAGTCGTGATATTATGAGGATGTTAGCGTTTGCGTCCTGCATTGTGAATATCATGGGAGCTACTTTTGGTACCTACCAAAATGTACGATATAGAGGATTTGTCAAAAGGGTTGGCAGGACTATCAGGTAACAGCATTGGGTTGGCTGATTATTGCTTTTTATCCATCCATCTTTCTTTCTATCCATCAGCCCATTCCCATTCATCCATTCATCCTTCTTCCCACATGCCCATCCCATCCATCCATCCTTCTTCCCTTCTATCAATTATTGTTCTTCACATCTGTTCATCTCATCAAATAATCCTGCCAGCCTTTTGTCCAGCAAGCTGCATATACCCCCATTTGTCTGTCTATCTATTCCCTGATCATTCCCATCCATTCATCTCTTCCCAGCCATGCATTCACTATCAATTTTATAAAATAACTGTTACAAATCTTGCGTTCTGATTGGTTGGATGCGTGTGCTTTATGAGAGCACACAGCACGTGCGCGCATTTTCTATTTCTATTTATCCCATCACATCCCATCACTCATGTCCATCCATCTATAGAGGTTTTGCACCATCACGTGACGGCATTCATGCTAGATGGCAGGAACAACACAGTCGTTTTACATAAGAAAGGAATCAATTTCCAAGAGCACAGGGATTTTATTGTTCTGTCATCCAACCACAGGGAGTCCAAGCTGTATTATTTGATGGGCATGTGATGGTAAAACCGCTATTAATTGATTGTATTTCTTTTGTCTTCATGTAGACAAATTGTTCAGTATGTGCTAGATCACTGGTCCAACTATCGTAGCTGGAGGGTTGACATGCACCAGGATACCTATACTACTATCCCTGATATGTACTCACTGGAAGAACAGTTCTCACTGCAGAGACTGCAAACTGAAGTGGATCAGTTTTTCATGAAGGCAACACAACAGATCATATGTGCACACAAGTAAGCTATGATGAATTCCAATCGGAATTACAGTGGATGAATAGCTACTCTGTAGAAATACCACTGTTAAATCCCATTTATTTTATTTTATTTATTATTTGATATGACGATGATGATACAAGATGATGGTAGTGATGATGATGATCACAATAATTAATATGATGCATGATGACCTGTCATTGTCTTGTCATCACTTATCACCATCACAAAGTACAGCAGTGACACAGTACAATGGGATCAAAATGATGATGATGCATGATGATGATGGTGGTACATGATGACGATGATGATTATACAAGATGATGCTAGTGATGAAGATGGCGATGCATGATGGTGTGGAAGATTGTGATGATGCATGATGATGATAGTGGTATATAATGACAATGATGATTATACAAGATGATGCTAGTGATGAAGATGGTGATGAAAATGGTGATGATGATGATGATGGTGGTACATGATGACAATAACGATGATTATAAAAGATGATGCTAGTGATGAAAATGGTGATGAAAATGGTGATGATGATGATGATGGTGATGATATGATGGAAAAGCATGGTGGTGGTGATGATGATATATAGTTGTTGTGGTTATGATGGTGATATTGCATAATGCCGACAGTAATGATGAAGTGATATTATTGTATTATCAGTCTTGGAGCTTGGCAGTTCCTTGCTGGTATGCCCTTCAAAAGTGTGTCATCGCCAACACTTTGGTCATTATTCTGGGCACTGCACACGGATCTGAAGCAAATGATACCAGTACTGGCAAGGAATGGTCCACAAGACACAGGAGAGTATGATTGGCGAACAAGATTACAAGGTAAAAAGACAAACTACTGTTTCATGTTAAAGAGAAATTATTTTTGTTCAATTTATCAAAGGAATTTTTCTCCATTATTTTTATGATATATCATTGCCATTGCCATGTATCATCATCATCATTACCATCATCATTACCATCATCATTACCATCATCACCATAATTATGCATCACCATTGTCATTCTCACCATAATAATCATGCATCATCATCGTCATCACCACCATCAGCATCCTCATCTTGCATCACAATCATCATCATCATCACCATCATAACCATCACCATCATCACCATCACACATCACACATCACCATTCTCATTCTCATCATCATCATCATTATAATCATCATCAGCATCAGCATCATCATATTGCATTGCCATCATCATCACCATCATCATCACCATCATCATCATCACCATCACCATCATCATCATCATAACCATCATCATCATCATCATAACCATCACCATCATCATCACCATCATCATAATCATCATCATCATCATCATCATCACCATCATCATCACCATCATCATCATCATAATTAGTTCTTATTGTCAGAACCTTCATCTACATCATATTTTCCAGATGATTTTATTATATATTAATAAACATTGTCAAACAATATATCTTTTACAGAATTGCGTAGTGAGTTTACAGATCAACTATCTCACATGTCACAGTCAGAGGCAGTTTTTCTATTGACGACATTTACTAACATGGCAACATCCAGGGAATCTCACGAGAAGGACTTTATTGAGGCTGTTACACTAGAAGTCTTTGAGGTACACTGGTTTGTAGTGCTCATTATCATCTTCATCATTATAACCATTATGATTAGCTTCAACATCATTGTTGTCATCATTGTGTATTGTCATCCTCGTTGTCATCAACGTTGACATCATCAATGTTGTCATCGTCATAATCATCGTTGTCGTCATCATATATTGCTATCATCGTTGTTATCATCTTCATTATCATCATCACTGTCATTAATCATTTTGTCATCACTATCTCAATCGTGAAAATGTTCAGGGTTTAAAGATTTTGACTTTAAACATTTTTTTACTTTAATTTCAGGTCTCTTTTATCTCAGATCAAACCCGAGAATTTTGTTCCAAAACAGGGCGAGACCTGCTGGGAACTATAGCTGGTTTTCATCCATTTATTTTCACTGTGCTCCTACAGAGAGTTGGAGAATCCATAGAAACAATTGGCAAGGTAGGAAATCAGCAAGATTGGCAATCATCATCATCATGATCATAATTATAATCATCAGCATCACCATCATCATTAGTGATCATCATCATCATCATTAACCTTTATCTTTAGCACAGACATCATTAGTCATTACCATTATCGACAGCAGCATTATGAACACCATTAATACGATTGTTGACAGTAATGTTCCACTGAAACGAACATCAAAAAGAAGGGCAAAGGTAAACAGTAAGCCGTGGTTATGCAGGGGCATCCTTTGCTCAATCAAGAATAGACAACGTTTATGCAGTAGTTATATTCATGATTGTAATAATAAGGAAAAGTTCACTAAATACAAAAAGTACTCAAATCTCTTAAATAATATTATAAAGAAAAGAAAAAAAGAATACTTTGCGTCTCAATTTCAAGCCAACAAAAACAATCTGAAAAAAACTTGGAAACTTATTGGCCATATTATTAAACGAAAAACAAAATCACAAATAATTCCAACAAGTATCGTTCACAATGATACTGTTTATACTGATATGAATGACATAGCAAGCCAACTAAATAATTACTTTTCCGATATTGGTACCCAGCTAGCAAGTAAAATACCTGACACTGGGGATGATGTTACTAAGTACATCACTAATTCTCCAGTCTCTAGCTTTTATTTACAACCAGTGTCAAAATCTGAAGTTAAACAAAGGTTAGAATCACTGGAATCAGGTAAATCATCTGCTGATATACCCTATTACTTAATTAAAATTGCAAGTCTTGAATCGTCAGATCCCATGACATTTTTAATTAATAATTTGATTGAAAAAGGTATAGTCCCAGATCTTTTCAAAATTTCCTGCATAACCCCAATTCATAAAAGTGGCAACAAAACTGATCCATCTAATTATCGTCCAATTGCAGTATTGCCATCATTTAACAAGATTCTAGAAAGGATTATATATGATCAGCTCACTAAGTTTCTAGACCACCATAAGATTATAAATACATATCAGTTTGGTTTCAGGAAAAATCATTCAACTGAACATGCAATTTTAGAATTAACTGACAAMTTAAAAAGATCTATTGATAATAAAGAAATGACGTGTGGAATTTTCCTTGATTTTACTAAAGCTTTTGATACGGTTAACCATCAGATACTTCTTTCTAAATTACATAAATATGGTATTAGAGGAATAGCTCATARTTGGTTTAATAGTTATCTCACCAACAGAAGTCAATTTACCAAAGTTGGTAATGTTAAAWCTGGCCTTAGACGCATTAAGCATGGAGTCCCGCAGGGGAGCACACTCGGGCCGTTACTTTTCTTGTTATATGTTAATGATCTCCCCAATGTCTCTCACAAACTAAATTTTAGAATGTTTGCYGATGACACTAACATCTTTTTTGCAGACAAAGACCCAGTCGTAATAGAAAATATTATTAATCAAGAGTGGAATAATATAATAAAAAACTGTGAAACTAATAAGTTGACTATCAATCTAAAGAAAACACATTATATGATAATTAAGTCTGCCAAGAAAAGAGCACCTATGATTAAAGTCCCTCAAATTGAACAAAAACCTTACATTAAATACTTAGGAGTTTATATTGACCAGCATCTTAATTGGGAATATCAAATCAAACTTGTACACAGTAAAATATCTAAGAATATCAGAGTGATTAATAAGTTAAGGTACTATGTTAATTTGAAAACATTACGAGATGTATATTTTTCAATAATTTATCCATACTTAGCATATGGGATATTATCTTGGGGAAATACGTACAAAACAAATTTAACTAAAATATTCACAGCTCAAAATAAATGTATGAGAAGAATTTTCTTCTGTAATAACTATGAACATGCAGCCCC